TATACGCTGCGAGCAACTGCCTCAAATATGGTGTGCAGTGGATACCTCGTATATGATCTCAAAAGCAGTAACAACACAATAATGGAGTCATTCACGTGTCACTTTCACCGATTAAATTAAATAGTGGCCGCGCAAGCGCGATGATCAATCTTCCTTCCTTTTTTTTTAATTTGACACAGGGGACTGCAGATACCTCCCAATTACGGAGGCTCGTTGGAATATTCCGGCGCTAATTTCACGGCGTGACTCTTCGTAGGGTTCCCCGCATTAAGGTCCGGCACTAAGCGGGGTTGACGCAAGGTCGGCCGAATTCCTTATCGGTGCGCTACGGCGGCGCTGCAAATTGGACTCCGCACCTGACCGAATTCCAGACCGCCGTTCCCCCCTCCCCTTCGGCAAGGCAACAACCTTGCGGGCACCGCTCACGCCAGCCGAACATTTGCATGCTTAACTGATCCACCCAATGAACGAAAGCTGCTGCCCAGTCGGCGGCGACCGACCCGTTGTGTCTGTGGGATCGGGGTACGGTAATAATAATAAAAAGAAAATGTCGACAGACGCGAAGGGGGGAAAGAGACGTTCGTTAGTCTGTCTAGGATAAGTACACTCTAAAAAAAGCCTGTGCGTCTACTTTCACGCACAACACTCGGAGAGCCAATCAGCGCAACTTACGGAGGCAGCTCAGCGAATGACGATGCCGAAACATATGTTTAGACCAAAAGACGCAGTCTGAGTTGTGACATTAAGCAATGCAAAACGTCACGCTAGTCAGTCTGCGTTTTTTGGTCTAAACAGATGTTCTAGCATCGTAATTTGCTGAGCTGCCTCCGTAAGTTGCGCTGATTGGTTCCCCGAGTGTTGTGCGTGAAAGTAGACGCACAGACTTTTTTTTGAGTGTAGACGCCGAACTTGAAGAACACTGCTCACGCTCCTCATTCATTTGTGACGGAATGAGGGGTAGGGCGCAGCTGGATTGTTTTGTTCGTTTGTCCGACTGCGGAGGTGTTGAGATTAAAATTGGGACCGACCGGACATATTGAAATATGGCTTGGGAAGAAACGATAAAAGAGAAATGGCTAACTTGTCTAACTGAATTCGAGTTGAAATTAAAGCTGCCAATGTGGCGATAGCTTTTTTTGTGTGTGTGTGTGTGGATGTTGTTCAAGATATGGGAAATTATGAAGAAGTGGAATTATGGGTTTCGTAACTGAGATATTGAAATTCTAGTTTCAATAAATCTAACTTTTATACGTCATATTTATAAGGACTGTATATTTTGTGGATAAACCGTGAAAACTATTGGGGGAACCTTCAGAAACATTCTTATACAACGATCAAAGATCTATGGTCTTGTAGAATTCAAACAATTGTGTTGCGGATAATTTAGTAATTTATCGCTTTTCCAATGGTCAATCGCTTGTAATTTTGAGTTTAATTAATTTTCTAAGTCGTTCAGAACAAATTAGGCTTTTAAGTTTCGCTCAACTATTATCGGTGCCCGCTTCCGTAATGAGCAGGCTGAAACTCAGCGCACCACAATAGGGGTGTAAAATTCGTTGTTTGCCCTTCCACTTCAATCTATGCATTTATCATCGTCGCCAATAAACATTCACCCAAGTGAATCATCACACACAACAGTACCCCCTCTATTAACAAAAACATCGTCGAAAAGATAACGAATAACAAAGTTTCCCAACCCAAAAATACAAGACCGTACTCAAATTCTTATAAGAACGTACTGACGCGTGGCACTCTTTTATTATACCTCGCAAAAAGGTAACATATTTAGCCTGTTTAAATGAATTCCTCTTCTAAATATGGCCCCATAAACTTAACCGGAGGCATAACAAAGCGATCACACACCCCATCACTCGACTCGGAAGAGCTTTTTCTTATTACGTTGGCATAAAAAAAAAAAAAAAGAAGGCACATTTCCTTTTACATCACCGGTCCTTGCAACAATGGTGGCTGCTATCCCCGCCATATCACTTACCTATTTCTTTGAGTTCCCCTTTACTCTCACTATCTCGCCCTCGTCGTTTTTTTTTCCCTCCACGAAACTGAATAGCCTCCGGACAACGTTACGAGTTCGTCGTCCTCTCCATTTTATTTTTCCTCTCCCTGCTCTAACGACCAAGTGGATAAACTCCGTTCACCCCTAAGCTGACAGTGCGGTATAAGCTACTCGCTCATTGGACCAATCGTACGCCTACCTTTTCCCACGTGATCGCGCACTCCCACGTATCCGGACGCAGAGAGCAGATTCAGGTGATCAAAGAAAGGCTTTCCTGTTTCTTTGTTGCCTGACAAGCGCGTAATTCCTACCACACTGTCAGCTGAGGGGTGCGATGAACGGAGTATAGAGTGGGGTTGGCGCGGGGCTCGCCTTCCAACGTCGGCCCTGATTCGGAAGCCCTTCGTGGAGGCCTCGTTGGTCGGAAGCGTGCTCGGAAGTGCACGCGTCGATTGCGCTTTCATTATGCGTGATGCCGCCCGAGCACGAACTGCGGGATCGCATTGATGTATTCATTGCGCTTGCATAGAACTGCGTGTCCTCCCTGCCCACACACAGCTTGTTCGTACTTGCAGAGTTGAACACGGACAACTTCCTGGCATTGTTCGGTAAAATTATGTTGTTTCTTAAAAAGTTTTATTATGGTGCTTTGTATAACGAACACTTAGATGCATGAAATTAACAAAAGAGGGGTACGCTGATTGCTGGAAGAATCGTCAGTATTTAGAAAGTTCGCAGTGACGTCACTTTGTGCTGGTGCTTCTGCTACTCGGAGCGAACAGTCCTATGAAGGAGTAGCGTACAAGGCGTGCAGTTTTTTCTGAACAAGTGCGTAAACAATGCGCAGCAGTATAATAATGACGGATACGTGAAATTCGTGCGTTATGAACGACTCAATCAACAGTCTAAGTGAAGAACAGTGGCAATACCAGTGCTACTACATGATTGTAAATTATATTCTGATTTGTTCTCTCTGCGCTGTGAAAGAATCGTTATTTTTATTTCTAGAAACAATGAGGTCAAACTCAATATGCTCTTAGAACCTGTACTAAATAATTGTTAAAATAAAGTTGTCGGATGTACGGCAAGCAGAATCAAACGCCCAGTGATTGGTCGAGAACTCCGTGTGACGTCAGGAATGGGCTTTTAAACGCTTGCAGAACTGTGACTTACTTTGCGCGAGAAACCCGGAGGTGCGATAAGTTCAATTTTACGCACGAACTTTGCATGACTTTGCAAGTTATAAATTGCCGTGTTAGTGATCTACACCCTCGCGGAACCGAATCTCGGCGCTAAAAAATCGTGCATTGCTCTTTCGTTTATTTTTTTTTTTTTTTTAATTTATTTTCTAAAGAGAGATTAGTGGATTTTTGATCGTATACAGCTCCGTATTTTGTACGTCCGCCCTGTGGCACTATATTCTCTCAAATCTCATTTATCTCTATTCGCTCTTCACGACGTAAATTGAGTTATCCGTTCATCTTTTAGTAAATCGCTTTACCCTCTTCTCAGTGTGCGCGGCTGTCAAAGAGAAAAAAAAAAGTGGCCAATATCAGGTAACGAGAAATGGCTCAAAGGAGATCAGACACCCTTCCAAATAATTAGGTTTGCTCTCAAACTCGTTTTCATATAAAATATATATATAGAAAGAGAGAGAAAAAATAAAAAATAAAACATTTCATAACATACTCCATTGAAATGTACAAAACCTGTATTCTTCTTTTTTTCTTTTATAAATCGTAATCGAATAACTGTCGGGCCGTTTGGATAATAAAGTCCTTTCACTTCAACCTCCCACTTGCTAACCTGAAGCGCGAGCGCAGAATATGCTCCAATTTTGTCTGAGGAGAATTGGCGTATCAGATGCTGATATCGTTTTCCCACACGAGTACGTTTCCCTCTCTAATCGATGTTTAATAATCCGCCGGCACGTGACACAGTTTGGAGTGAAATATTACGCGCTCCGTTTGCCGAAATGTCAGAAGCGTTGGCTGGCTACGAGTGGGCATTGTCCTACTTGGTTCCTGTTTTGAACCGGAAACCACGCCGGCCCCCGCCGCCAAATAAGCGTGTACATTTTTTTGTTGTCATTATTTTACGTTTAAATTGTAAGTTGCAGGACAATCGGCACAGGGCAACTACGCTCTGTTGCGTTTCGGAAAGGACTGCATGTACCACGTTAAATACAACTTGGAGCTCTTGCAAAAATGTGCATTGTGTTCGTGCTGGTTCTATCACAGCTAGGTCAGATCTCACAAAACAAAAAATAAAAACGCAATGCTGAAACTTCCAAGATTGTCAGACTTTGATCACGGCTTTAAAGTCACCCTTCGAAAGAAAAATTGGATCGTTGAAATAAACACTGGGGATAGTTTTGAACCAGGTCAAGTTTGCATTTCTAGTGGAACCAGCTGAACTTACAGAAACTTGTGGAGATAGGAGAAAAGACACCCGATCGCTGGATCGGGTGTCTGTAAATTCAGCTGGTTCCACTAATCATGTACAACCATCTAGCTCAGCTGACACCCCTCTAAGTTTGCATGTTCATCGATTCATTTATCGAGGTAGCTAATCAATTGCAATTGTAAAAAATATGTTCTGCACCAGAAGTCTGTTTGTAAGTCATGCCCAGTGAACTTTTCAGACTTAAAGGTACCAAAGAAATACTTTTTCCTCTGCCGACCCTGTAGACACCTTCTAAAATGTTTCATAGGCTGGATATAGATGCAGTCACCTTTCAGGTGTCCAAGTCCCTCGGCCAACTTATTTGATCTATTCTATATGCGGCATCTATTTGAGATCGCATAGAAGCGGAGTCATCGTCCCCCTAGTAAACATATCGTTCCTGTACACCCCAACACCGCAGCTGCATCCAAAGTCCCCGGTGGTGGCCCCTATCCCATCCCCAACCCCGAGGGCATGCTTCGAGAAGACACGTGACGCGCTCGATGATGCACACGGGTCGCTCATCCACTGACGCACTCACCCGAAAGCACATGGCCGTTGCTGTCGCAGATGCGATAGGTCCACCGTTCAGAGCGCGAGTCACAAGTGCCATTCGCGGCATGAGAGCCCTCCAAAATGCTTTTATACCGCGGCCACTACAGAGGGGGGTGCGGTCACGTGTGCTTACCGTCCGTTATTCGGCCTCCTTTCCACCCTCTCACTTCCTCCGCCATCATCAGCCGCCCGGAATCGCGCTCTCCACTTTCACCGGGCCTCCTTCTCTCCCTCCGCCATTTTTCCGGAAGACAATGAGTGGACGGGCGGACGCCGGTCGGACGGACGTAACGGTTCTTTTTCTTCTCTCGGCCGGCGCACCTTCGCGAGACCTTGAACGGAAAAAATCGGTTATGTCGGGCGGGGACGCTGTCAATTTGCGCGTCTCGGAATCCTAGATGTCTTGTTGTGGACTCGTGGCCAGACAAGATCGCGAAAGACCGGTTTCCGCCCCCCCTCCTTTCTGCTTTGGTACATCTCGCTGCTCGAAAGCAAAGTTCGGACGACAACTTCCTTCGAAGCGGCTGCTCTTGTCTGAACGGTGCTTCGGAGAAACCTGGGAAAAGTTTCGTGTTCGCGGGCAGTGTGCCAGGACGAGTTTCAGTTTTAGGGTTACCCCGGCAGGCCGAGGTGCATTCTGAATGCGGACTGCCTGCCGAGAACGCTGATTAGAGTGAGGAGCGACCCTGAAGGGTCGTGACAAGCAGGGAAACATTAGACTGTGGACACAATGGTCACTCGTTATAGATGTTTATAAATATTGGCAGTGTGCGAATTCACACACATTGCGCCACCCAGATGTAGCAGAGAGCTGAGCGTTGTAACGGACAGCAGCACAGCTGTGATTAAATTGTTGTGTTTTGTGGAAGGATTTACTATATTTTGAAATCATCATCTACATCTAACATCATTATTAACTTTTCCAGAAACTGTAAACGCGTAATCTTACATTAAACACTAAAAATATTATACCATTAATGGCGTAAATCAGCATCTTCTAGGGCGTTAGTCCTGGGACAAGTGTTAGACGAACACTTTTAGGATGCCGGTGAACGCCCGAATAATGGTATGCTGGCAGTCTGAGCAGTATTCTAGGAGTATTTTTAGGAGCAACAAGTTTATTAACAACAAGCACGACATACAGTTTTCACATGCACAGAAACAGCAAATACAGATGTAATGGATCAAGCACGAGAAAGAAATTATTGTTTTGGTGACTGCTCCACCTCCTTATGTACTCTACAATTAAAAAAAAAAGAAAACACAAATTCACAGTTGTACAGCCTCCGCAATTAGAAACAATACATGTATGTTGGTTTGTTCTCCTCAATGTTATCTAAGTTGAACAAACGTATCTCGAAGCAAAAAAAAAAAAAAAAAACACTTGGTACAGGCAATAATTTTCAAGATTTTCGAAAAGACAACCTTGCTATAGTCGCTGCCAGTGCGGCAAATACCCTTAAAAAAGAATGTTCGTGTCACTTCAGTCCTTTCCACACTTTTTACACCTAACGAAAATGTAGGGTGTTCAATGCAAACGGTTCCTTTATGATTGAAAAGGAACGATAGAAGGGTGCTAAAAGGGTGTAAGTTATAGGTGTTAGTCTCTGGAACAACATTTTTACACGTTTAAGGGTGTAACATTTTTTAGTCGTTTTGCGAAAAAATTTCGCTTTATGATGACAATATTGGTACCAACGGACTTCTATCGTAATTCCGTACTGCTTACTGTGCCATATGGTGAGATGAATTGCCACTGTGGTTATATAGCATAAAGAAAAAGTACCGTTCAAATTATGAATCACGCTAATTTGTGAGACATACTTGGCTATAGTAATTCAATTAGGGTAAGTGAACTGATAAGTTGTATTACTTTTCTGAGTAATGTGTACATGTGAGTCGTTACTTCTGATTGGAATATAATTTTGGTTGCAAATGAACTGCTTTTATTTTTTAGTTAGAATTACAATTATTTTTTTTATATTGTTACCAGGAACCTCCTTTCTATGTGGTCATCGACAGGCAGAAATACACTTACGTCTCCCTCATTTCACTGCCTCATTTCACTTCTGTCAACTTGTGGCGCTTTGAGAGAGCCGAAATTGCGGCAAGGAACTTAGCCTGGACACACAGCCGAGCAAACGTCAACGCCGAACACTCGCAGAGGGTCACGAGATGGCCCACACAAAGCGGGAGTGTCTTCCATTGACGAGAGAAAGAGATAGCATCAAAATGGTGGGATAGTGATCTCTACGTTGAATAACTTATCACGACTCATGTCGGCAATTTTCAGAACAGTCCAGAGTTGCGCCACCATTAGATTATTTCAGTGTCTCTTAAGTTTCACTTCGAGCAGCAGTGAAAAGACATAAAAATTATTGGAGGTAATAATAACAGATCCGACTCGGATCATACTCGGAACTCAAACTTTTGTATCATACCACTAAGAAAGTACAACCAAGGCACAACATGTAATGAATGTAAAATTCCGTACAGCTCATCGTCAAGGGTCGGACAAACCATTGGCTGCAGGCTGCAAGGGACGTACGCAGGCACGTAGCCAGGGGGGAGGCCCGGCCCACGTCACCACCCCCCCCCCCCCCCAAATTTTCCATTTTTCTGGGACCTCCTCTCCCCCCTCCTCCTCATACATCATTTTGTCATGGACGGGACTCCCCCCCCCCCCCCCCCCCCCCCCCCCCCCCCCGAAACAAAATCCTGGCCACGTGCCTGGCCGGGCGTATTTTGTTTACTTGTTAATTTTGTATATGTTACTCCTAAACTTCTGTAAGGCAACGTAATCAAAAACGATTTTGCGAAATACATAACGTTTAATAAGAGAAAAAAAAAATAAGTGCGCCAAAACGGCATATTTTATTTTTGAAGTTTTCGATTTTTTTTTTAATGTTTGGTGACACCTACTGCGCATAATACAACAATAAGAAATCTAAAATATTTTTCACTTATAATACATATGGTAACTATTGAGTTATATATCTACTGCATTGTGGAGGTCATATATTTCGCGTCAAAAGTGCGCAAACATGGCTCCTTCGACCTCTTGTCACTACATTTCTAATCTTTTATCTATAAAAATGTAATATCTAAAACATTGCTATGTATTTCGTATATCCTTATTAAAACGTTCTTTCAAATGATATATAAATCATTGCTTTATCTCAAAGATTGAAATGTTTATGTCCCTCCAGACATGTTATAAATTGCAAAGCTAAGAAACTTCAAGAAGCAATTAAAAAAACAAACATCTTCGGTTTTTTTTTTTAGCTTAATAGCGTTAGTTCTCCATTCTACTCTTGTGCTTCTTCAAAAAGAAACATGTTACATTCGGTTTCTTTCCTTCAAAATTACAGCGCTGCAAATTGTACCTTCCGCGCCGGCTTTTGCCCAATGAAACAGATGAGATTATCTTTTGATTGTGTATTTTATAACTGTACCTGTTTTCACCTCAAGAAAAAAAAAGACGTTTCGCGCATTGTTTATACGCCATGCGAAGTACAGGGTGTCACAAAAGAAAATTTACACGGTCTTTTTTGCCGCAAAAAATAAACTAGGCATCGCTGAACGCCCATTCCTCCGCCCAAAGGTAGCGCTAGGGGTCACAACCAGATGCCAAAGTTTCAGCCCAATCCGAGAACTTAATCAAAAGTTATAAGTGATTTTCTGAACATTTCAATGGGAAAATGGCGGCCGACGGAGTTTTCAAACACATGGGGCTCTATGGCGCCAGAAACCGAAAACGGGCGAAAATGGGCTCCATTTTCCCATTGAAATTTTCAGAAAATCACTAATAAATTTTGATTAAGTTATCAGATCGGGCTGAAACTCTGGCATCTGGTTGTGACCTCTAGCTCTACCTTTGGGCGGAGAATGAGCGTTCGGCGATGCCTAGTTTATTTTTGCGGTAAAAAAGACCGTGTAAATTTTCTTTTGTGACACAGTGTAGTTCCTACAAGATTTGGTTGTCGGAGAAAGAAGTGATGCATCTGGCGTGTGAACGTATACGTCTTAATAAAATAACACATATCTTATCTAAAATGCACCTACATACATCTTAATTCTCCACATAAAGGGGAAAATTAGTTATGCTCCGCGAGGAGCAGAGCTAACTTTTACTGCGGTTTTTGAGGTGAAAACGAGTATAGATATATATTGTGTGCTGTATTCGGGTATTGGGCTCAAGTTCAAGTATTCTACTAATTAAAAGATACCCGCGTTGCTCGTTCTTTATATTTATTTATCGAATAAGCCTGGCGTTGCCACTTAAAGTTTCAAGTTTTTGGAGCTTTACTAGAAGTTTATCAAATTTTAATCGCTACTACTACCATTTTTTTAACAGAAAGTAGTGGAAAAGTAGAAACAGTGGTGCAAATTATATGCAAATATTTATATCTATATTCGCGTTGAAGTGAGAATGTTTGAGTCACTATGCTTGTTAAACTGCTATTCATGACGGTTGTAGGTCCGGCTGATCAAGGAAAACCTGTGACTTTCCTGGCAGACTTTCACTAAAACATCCGCTAAAATAAAAATAAAAAAAAAATAAAAAAGTCGCGTTTATTTATTTGAGTAAAATGAAAAATACGAAACTGAAAAAGTAAAAGAAAAAAAAAGAGTAGATAGGTGAGCGCCCGCCTTGGGCAGGAGGGTATATGAGAAGTCCGTTTTTCGCCTCCCTTCAAGGTAGACTGAGAAATTCCCCTAAGCATTCCCATGTATTGCAATAACTCCAACAACGATCGAGTGCGAGAAAATCGGTCAACTTCGAATGCTGCAAATAGGGAATGCACGAACTGATTGACGCTGTCTCATGGCCGCAGCGTTCCGTGAAAGGAATTCGAAAGCCCTTGTAAAGTAAGTCCAACTACGATTCTTTGATTGTCTTATCTTAGGTACGTGGCAGCGAGCTCTTCTTGAAAAAGAGGATAAAACTAGGCCTGAATTTTTCCGCGCAAAACAGTCAATAATCGCGTTGTCGGTGTATTTAAGGATGGTGTTTTACCGATGCGGAAGCTGTTTCCTGGCCTTGCATAGTTCG